TTTTATAGCCAAAAAAAAACCTAAGAAAGATGTGTTTACAATTTTTTAAATTCCTATGTAAGTTATGACATATCCACACAATAAAATATGATGTCATAGTTCTAAACTATGTTTTTAAGAGTTTTGAAAGACATGGGAAAAGTCTTTAACTGCACAAAAGGAACTCTGATTAAAATGTCTCCACCTGGAATGTAAGCTGGTACAGCCACTCTGGAAAACAGTATGGAGGTTCTTCAAGAAGCTAAAAATAGAGCTACCCTACAACCCAGTAATTGCACTACTAGGAATTTACCCCAGAGATACAGACGTAGTGATCCAAAGGGGCACATAGACTCCAATGTTCATAGCAGCAATGTCCACAATAGCCAAACTGTGGAAAGAGCCTAGATGTCCATCAACAAATGAATGGATAAAAGATGTGGTATAGGGGCGCCTGGGTGGCTCATTGGGTTAAAGCCTGTGCTTTTGGCTCAGCTCATGATCCCAGGGTCCTGGGATCGAGCCCCACATCGGGCTCTCTGCTCAGCAGGGAGCCTGCTTCCCCCTCTCTCTCTGCCTGCCTTTCTGCCTACTTGTGATCTCTGTCAAATAAATAAATAAAATCTTAAAAAAAAAAATGTGGTATACACACACACACACACACACACACACACAAAATGGAAGACTACTCAGCCATCAGAAGAGATGAAATCTTATCCTTTATAATGACATGGTTAGAACATGGTTATTATGCTGAGCAAGAAAGAAAGACAATTATCATATGGATTCACTCATACGAGGAATATAAGGGTACAGACGATCATAGCAGAAAGGAGTTAAAAATGGAATGGGAAGAAATCAGAGAGGGAGATAAACCATAAGAGACTCTTAACTATAAGAAAGAAACAGGGTTTTGGAGGGTAGGTGGGTGGAGGGATGGGTAATTGGGTGATGGGCATTAAGGAGGGCACCTGATGTGATGAGCACTGGGTGTTACATGCAACTGATGAATTACTGAACTCTACATCTGAAACTAATGATGTTCTGTATGTTAGCTAATTGAAATTAAATAAAAATAAATAAATAAAATGTTTCTACCTGAAACTTCGCTGTGTACATGCACATTCTCAAGACAATTTTCTAACATCTGGCTGCTTCGTTTCCTGCTCCTAATCTTTCTCCAAGTTCTGGGTTACTCAAATTTAACTATCAAAAATACAGTCATTTCTTTTGTGTTTAGGAATCTTGCCAGCTACCAAAATCCACAGACACCATTAAAAGATGAAAGCCAACAAAACAGCATCTCACGAAGAAACTGTAACCACTACTCCAGGGAGGCATGATGTCGTTTCCCTTTGGAAATTCAACAAACAAATAAAGAGATGAAATCTGCTTAGGAAAAAAAATCATAAATCGAGACAAGCAACAAAATTATGCTGTTATCAACCATGTGCCACTAAAAACTATTTCATCTGAAAGTGCTGTGCCACTAAATAAGCAAACAAATTATAAAGGAGGAGCAGGTGCAGAATATTGCTTTAATGCAAACTTAGGAAAGAACTATAAAACCAAGTGAAAGAAAGGCAAAAACAAACAATATCAGCTCAGAGCATCAGAGTGCTGACAATAAAAACAAAGTCTACCAAGCTGAATCATTGGTTGCTGCATAGGCTTGTATATCCGCAGGTATTTTTCCTTTCAATTACTTTTCCAAACATGAATTTCCTCACACAAAAGATAGCAATAAGCTAATGCTCGAGAAAGATGTAAATACTTGGCCTTCGCATGTTTTCGACATTAATATAGTCTTCCTGGTGATTCCATCTCTATATCCTTTCTCTGTAATAAACTATTGTTTGTCAACATGGTCCATGTTCAGGGCGCTTGGATGGCTCAGTGGGTCAAGCTTCTGCCTTCGGTTCAGGTCATGATCTCAGGGTCCTGGGATCAAGCCCCGCATCGGGCTCTCTGCTCAACAGGGAGCCTGCTTCCTCCTCTCTCTCTGCCTGCCTCTCTGCCTACTTGTCATCTCTGACTGTCAAATAAATAAATAAATAAATAAATAAAACACATGGTCTATGTTTAAGAACTGTTTAAGTGAAAGAAATCTTTGGCTCTCAAGAAAGAATTTCACATTAAAACAAATTTTTAGAATCACTTCTATAATTATAAACATAATCAATATTCACAGTGTATCTCCAGGATACTCTAAATTTTCTATGCAAACCTGCGTTTTCCCCCACAGAAATATATTAATATTAAAAAATGCCTTACAGCTTAAGTTTAGAGTAATCCATAAAGCAGCTACTAACGTTAAATACACTATTACTCCACCCTTCAAGTTCTTCACTTGATCTTAGCCAAAAGGCCGAGATGCGATCCACCCTTCAAGTTCTTAATATTTTTGGCAAAGACATAGGTTTCTTAGTAACTAACATGAAAATCAATTAGCACCACATAATTGATCACCAGTACATATACATATACACACACTAGAATGTTTTAAAAATATGAAATTCATAGATCCAGCTAACTAAATGGAAGTTCTGAATAGAGAACTAGTGTTCTGAATAGAGAACTAGCAAATAATTTACCACCAAATACTCAGTTTATTTTGAATGTTAAAAACATCTTTCAACTATAACGGTCCCTCATTTGACTGACCTTGATAGCCAATGTGTATTATATACTTATTATGTGTGCTAACTGTTCTAGAACCTGGGTTAGACAACAGTCCCTATATGTCAAGAAATACGTTATAGATGGGGGAAATGGACGAAGAGATACTCTGTAACTTTTCTCATCTCCAGAAGTAGGACACAGATCCAGGTTGTTCTGAGTACAGGGTACATGATAACTTTATGCTGTGTTCATTCTAACAGCAACACCTGGAAATTTGAGGAAGATTAGTATTGAAATCGATACCCCCTCAGAACATTTTGAAAATCTAGTCTCAAAACGAATGCTTAATAAGAATTTTTCTCAAAAGGAACTGGTTGGCCTTATTTCTAACCCACCCAAAGAAAACGATCATAATGGTAACTTCACACCACTGATAATTATAAGCTCCAGAGACACAGGATTTGCCATGCGGGTCCTGTCCTATACCTGAACTCTGAAATAGCCATTAGGTCGCAGAATCAGTTACGGAGGAAATGTAACTTGACAGTGAAGGATCAGGCTAATGCCAACTTAACCCAGTGCTCAAGCTTCGCCCCATCAGTGGGAAGACCCCAAGACACATCACCTGTGATAAGTCCTGGCCAAAATACCTGCTTTGATCTAATCAGACATTTGGATCTAGCTTCCAATGTCAGGAATTAAAAGAGCCAGAGGTGTAAACTAAATGACACCAGTAGCAAGAAATGAGACAAATCCAGGAGGAAAGGACATTCTCAAGAACGAATGTCTCTCTCTTCCACAAGTCAGTGTCATGAATAACAAGAAGCTGTTCTAGATTCAAAAGAGACTTCAGGTACACAACATCCAGATGCACTGCATGATCCTGGACTAAATTCTGCTTAAGACAGTCCATCTGCCAAGGACACTGTGGGGGCCACTACAGGAAACTCATTGTGTTGGGGTATTAGAAAATGTTAAGAATGATCACCAATGGGGCACCTCGGTGGCTCATTCAATTAAGCATCTGATTTCTGCACAGGTCATGATCTCGAGGTCGTGATATCCAGCTCCAAGTAGGACTCCACACTGGGTGTGACATCTGTTTAAGATTCTCCTTCTCTCCCACTGCCCCTCCCCCACCACTTGCACATACACACACACACACTATCTCTCTCTCTAAAAAAAGTGGTAATTACCAATGATATTAGTTGTGATAATGTTAATTTGGCCATGTAGCACCATGTTCTTATTTTTAAGAGACACATACTGAAGTATTTAGAGATAGAATGTTAAAATGTCAATATTTTACTTTAAATTGCTTCATTATAAATACAGAGTTTTGAAAGGGGGGGCAGTTGTAAAAACAATCACAAAACAAATAAGTATAAAATGGTGTAAGGATCAAAAATCATGCTTCAGTGTCAAGGATTATGTTTAATTGAAAAGAAAGTGATACGTGAACAGTAAGCTTTGATCTAAAGAGGCCGCCCCATCACCACCACCTGCAAAAAGCTAAAGGAAGAAATTTACAAATTTAAAGTAAAATATCAACTTCGAAAAGATCCCCTAATTTTATCTTGTTTTTTTAAGATTTATGTATCTATTTTACAGAGAGAGTGTGGGGCCAGAGGCGGGAGGGACAGAGAGAGGGGCAATCTCAAGCAGACTCCACGCTTAGCACAAAGCCCACGGAGGGGCTTCATCTCACGACCCTGAGATCATGACCTGAGCCAAAATCAGGAGTTAGACACTCAACCAACTGAGCCAGCCAGGCACTCCAATCTCCTAATATGATTTTAGAGAAACTTTTAGGTGTGTTATACCAATGTTCAGAATCACTAAAGAAAGGGATTAAAAACTAAAATTATAGCATACTATTCCAGAATAGGACTTAGGACAACATGAAATGTTCATTTTCATACCACTGTTTTTAATTACACATGCTTCATTTCCACATCCTATGTGGGAATTATTTCCTTTGCACATTAATAAACATCTTCTCTTCTAAGCACATACCTAACAAATCAGAAAACAAAGTAAAAAGTTGAGATAATACTTGGAGACAGAAGCTGAACTTCAGTTAAACCCTAACAGCAGATGACTTCAGTAAGTCTTTGCTACCAACAGTGCTGGTGATTACCTGGGAATAATATAAATGCAAATAATGAAAAGAAGTAAAAGGGTGAGATTCTCAGAGATATAAAAGCAACTGAATTCAGATACAAACAGGCTAGACCTTTGGTACACATAAATTCTCTTCAGGGAGCCTACAACCTAGCACAAAGATCGCAAGGTGGCTTTTTCTATTTGTTTGAGGAACTGTACAACTTAAACACACAGCCACCTGCCTCTGGAATTTTCAATTCCAAAATTGAAACAAAGTAAGAATAAAAACAAACCTCAGGCCCAGCTGCCTGCAGATCACCTCTGCGTCTGCTTCATCCCACTGGTCATCACAGACGGTCCCCCAATGACCAGCATGGTAGATTTCCACTCGGCCTTCCCTCGCGCTGCTCCCACCCACGAGGCGTATGGCAGGGAACGTTGGGCCTGTGCCGGGTGAAATTAGAAACAAATTACACCTACACATTTGCATTGAATGATGAGATTAGATATGTTATATTTATCTGCCATTCTCAATAATTAAGTCATATTTATTAAACCACCTCAGGGATTTGCACATACACACACACACATCTAGTATGTATTACAGTATTCTTGACCAATACAGTATTCTTGACTGGCTGGCTCAGTCAGTAGAGTGTGCAACTCTTGATCTCTGGGTTGTAAGTGGTCAGAGCCTTACGTTGGGGGTAGAGTTTACTTAATAATAAAAGAAAAAGTTTTCAATAAAAATTATTTCAAAAAATACGCTAAATTGAATTATGTCCATACAAAATTGCTCCTAAGAGGAAGTAGTCCAAATTCACTTTTCTTCCCAACAACCTCAGAAGCCAGAAAAGACACACTCAAAACTATAGTTTATTGGAAACACATTTGATTTTCATGGTATTATAGTGGGGACACTAATTTTTTTATGCACAGTAACTTGAGCATTACCAACATGTAATTCTTAAAAACGGAACTTATGTCTGTATCATCCTTGTCTTCAGTACAGAAATATTTTTGTATTTGTAGAAATCAAATTAACATCTAACTCATTATAACAAGGTAGTGAACATCATGGCCAATACCTACAAAAAACAAGATTGGAGAATTCACTTGGGTATGAATTGGCTCATACTCATTTCCTAAGAACTACTACCAAAGGCTTCCCATTGCAAACTCCTTATTACGGTCCACAGTGCCCTGAGCTAGCCCTTGTTAGTGTCCTGAACATCCCTCTCTACACCTCGCCTCCTTCACCGGGCTTTACCTACGATGCCCTCTTCCTTCTGTCCCTTAAACAGTCAAGGTTGTTTCCCACCATAGGGTTTGTACGTTTCCGGTTCCTTCTACTTGAAAAGTGTTCCCGCAGGTCTTCGCCTGGCTTCATCACTCTCATCATTCAGTTCTCAACCCTGAATTGCCCTTTGTTTAAGAGGCCTCCCCTGGTCTTCCTAACCAACACAGCACACAAAGTTACTTTCTACTACATTGTCTTCCAAATATTTATTTTATCTAAGACTGTCATTGATTCATTGATTTCCACGTTGTCTACCTCCTAACAGCTAGAACTCAGGACAGAGACCGTGCCTTTCTCTTTCACCTGTGTATCTTAGGTACCCAGCATACAGAAGGCATGTAATAGATATTTGTTGACTGACTGGACTGATAAGTGACAGCCAGAAGCCTAGAAAGAATATTCCAAACAAGAAAAAATACTTAGCAATATTCATTCACTCAGTTCTGTTTAATAGATACTAGGCACCTCAGGGGCATTTATTTTTTTTTAAAGATTTTTTATTTATTTGACAGAGAGAGAGATCACAAGTAGACAGAGAGGCAAGCAGAGAGAGAGAGAGAGAGAGGGAGAAGGAAGCAGGCTCCCTGCCTAGCAGAGAGCCCAATGCGGGACTCGATCCCAGGACCCTGAGATCATGACCCGAGCTGAAGGCAGAGACTTAACCCACTGAGCCACCCAGGCAGCGCCACAGGGGCATTTAAAGGAGCTCTAGACAGACCCTATCATCAGGAGGTTTGCCACGTAAGGACATGGTCAAAATGAGCACAGAGAAGATCATCAAGACCCTCGGGGGCTCAGAAGCAAGGGAGCTTGCTTACCATTGGAGGTAGCCTGGAATCCCTTCTGAAGGAGCTGGTATCTGAAGAGGGCCAAGGTGGATGGATGGGATTTCAGAAGTCAGAGATAGGGTAAGTGTAGTTCAGCAAAATGAACAGTATGAGCAAATGTACAGAAGCACAAAGTTGAATGTGTTTGGGAAATAGCAAGACAGTGTAATTTTTCTGGAATAAAGGATATAATAGGGTAAAAGGTTCAGAACAGGCTGGGCCCCTCTTCAGAAATTTAATTACAGCTTTTGCCAAATGCTAACCATTTATCCACATGAAATATGCTTCTAATTCCCCCACAGTGTAAGCAGTTGTCAGTAAGTGTTATTGGGATATTCATATTTATATTCAAACATCATACCTGAATTTTGAATCAGAAATTCAGGTTAGTGAATATTTACATACACTCATATTCTGATCTTCATAATTTAGCTTATTTATGTAAGTCAACTAGTATTTACAATTTGTAAAAAGGATAAAGATAGTTTTAATAAACATAAGTGTTCTCAGCATTATATATTAGCTTCTTATAATAAACTGATGCTGAGTGGTCTAAAAAACATATTTGCATGTTATGTTTATTTTTCCTTTAAAAAGCTTGGAAAATATAGAAAGAAACAATGGGAAAATGTATTAGTTTCTTAAATTATTATATTCTCCCCTGCCTCTCTTCCCCATCCCACTATGGTAAGATTGGAGAAAACAGAAAAAAAAAATTTTTAAGACTTTATTTATTTGACACATGGAGAGAGAGAGAGAGCACAAGCAAGGGGAGCTGCAAAGGAGAAGGAGAAGCAGGCTCCCCACTAAGCAGGGAGCTCAATCCCAGGGATCATGACCTGAGCCAAAGGCAGACACTTTCTTTTTTTTTTTTTTTTAAGATTTTATTTATTTTTTTGACAGAGAGAGATCACAAGTAGGCAGAGAGGCAGGCAGAGAGACGGGGGGAAGCAGGTTCCCCACTGAGCAGAGCGCCCGATGTGGGGCTTGATCCCAGGACCCTGGGATCATGACCTGAGCTGAAGGCAGAGGCTTTGACCCACTGAGCCACCCAGGCGCCCCCAAAGGCAGACATTTAACCAACTGAACCACACACGTGCCCCGGAAAACAAAAATTTTTAAGAGGAAATTTAAAATCACCTACAACCCAGAACTGTATGGCCTACTACCTTATATTTTTTAGTGTCATGTTTTATTTTAAAACATGTGGGCTTTTTCTGGCTGTATAAGTAATTGTGAAAATACAGAAAATTTCAAAGACAAAATTTCATCAACATCTCACATCTTCCCAACAAGCACACAAAAAATCATTTGAAAGAGCATTTGGTGAGGTAGTTGACTCATGGCTAACTTATGGATAAATAAAACTCCCAGACATGTTCATTTAAATTACTATTTCCTATATCTAGTACTGCTACACAATTTCCTACTTTATAAGTGTTGGAAAAACAACAAGTACTAGATGACAGGGCACTAAATGTAATTTCCAAACTAAAAAAATGTATTAAAGATCTATTACTATGCCTTAAAGTAGATTCAGTGTTTGCTGATCTAAGCGGTTTCCTTTCACTTTCTCACTTGGTCTTTTTTCTCTCTCCCTTTTATCTCATCGCAACCTCTCACATTTTCATATATGCTTATGAATGACCTTAAATTTATCTTCACAACTGGGGTATAAACAGGTGAATAGATGATGAGAGCAAAAGAAATTTTTTAAGTGGAAAGATAATCCTGAAAGAAAACTAATTATTGTTTTCAAGATTTTATTTACTTTAGTACTTGAAAAATGTCAAACATTTTACCCAACAGGTGGAGCATGAGTACAAGCAATAATCTACAAAAAGTAATGCACCGTTGAACCCAAATCCCATCATCCTTGAAGCAGCAATGCATAAACATCTACCTCCCAAAGTAGCATTACCCAAAAGTGGAGAATCAAAGGAAGAAGAGGAAAAATTTCCAAAACATCAAGATTTAACATGCATTCGGCCCACTCAAAAAAGAACAATGGTTCTCAAAGCCCATACCTGCACCCTATCTTCCATTTGGCTCTTCCAGCCAATTCACAGCAATTACTCTAAATTGAGGCTCTGTGTGTTTTGTGGTGAGAGAGTTTCCATTCCTCTCCTGATTCTTTTTTTTTTTTTAAGATTTTATTTATTTATTTGACAGACAGAGATCACAAGTAGGCAGAGAGGCAGGCAGAGAGAGAGGGGGGAAGCAGGCTCCCGCCGAACAGAGAGCCCAATGCAGGAGCCCAGGATGACGACCTGAGCCAAAGGCAGAGGCTTAACCCACTGAGCCACCCAGGCGCCCCATCCTCTCCTGATTCTTGCACTCCAGCAGAAACCAATGCCCTGGGCTGGCTGCTAGCTTTTTAAGACCTGGAATATCTGACCACACTGCCATCTCCAAGGAGAATGCAAAAAGGGATACTGTGACAGGGTGCTAGTTTCAGGTTCTGGTCACACATTAAAAATAAACCATGCTTTCCAGAAAACCCATCAGCCATCATGAAAAGCAGCTGTTCCCTCCTCCACGTATGTTCATATGACCGTATGCATATATGTGTACTAAACCATGTTCATCATTTCATGGTTAGCATATAGTGCTCGGAAGGAGCCTTTATCCGAGGCAGTTGTCCATATTATGGAATGTGCTATTGACAACTCAAAGGAGAACACTGGTACCACGGTTATAATCTATCCTATAAAGTGAAAATATTTTGTTGTAGTTGCTGGGTTCCAAGATGATTTTCCATCTTGATTCTATCATGACCTTCCATTAGCAAAATAAACGTTTCATGTACAATATGCAATATTTCTGTAAGCCAATTAGATGAAATAGAAAACACGTTGAGTGAGATATCATTTGAAAGTCAAAAGGAATTCAGAATGTTAGACGCACTCTTATTGAAGACTATTTGACTACATAATACGATGATTCAGGCTTATGTCTGTATTTAAACTCTTTGAGGAAATGATTTAACAAAGACAATTTTATCATCTGGAATCTTGCTGAAAACACAATGAAAGTAAAAGAAAGTTTTTTACCGTGGGAAAAGCTACACGTGACAGCAGCTGCCATCTTCTGAGGACACGCCCCACCCTGCCAGATGTCTTTTTCACAAAGCAGTATATTTTCTTCATCTCCTCGGCAACGGACATTGCTCCAATAAATGGGAATAAGGCCCAGTCCAGAAAATGGGGTTTGTTTTGCAATTCCTTTTCGGCTGGAAACACAATGATCAAGGTTAGGTTTATCGAACATAGATGAAATTTTTTGTGAAAGTATTTAGATTTTTTTTAAGTGGAAGAAATCAATAAAGATAGATGTGAGAGGAAAAAAAAGGATAGATGTGAGAGGGAAAAAAACATAATGGATTACATAAGTTTCAAGGAAATCAAAACGTCAGATCAGAACTTGCATTGATTACCTACGGCAATCTTTTTAATCATCTTAAATAACGGTATGCATGTGCCTTTCCTACCTACAGCTGATTTTAGGGAAAAATACATATATGTGGGCAAATACTACAGATTTTAAAAAGAAGCCTGGTGGTTTTGTGGAAGAAGTGTGTCATGTGGCTCAGTGAGACATGGATTCTAGTCTGGACTCAGCTGCAAATTGCTCTAAGCTATGAGCTTCCGTAAGCTCAGCCTTCTGATGTGTAAAAAGAGGGCTGGTCTGGATGCATGACAATTTTCCTACTCCAACATGTTAGGCTAGCATTTTCTTTCTTTTTTTCTTTTTTAAAGATTTTAGTTATTTATTTGAGAGAGACGGGGAGAGAGAGCAAAGCAGGGGGTGGGCAGAGGGAGAAGCAGACTTCCCGAAGAACAGGGAGCATGACTCAGGGCTCAATCTCCAGACCCTGAAATCATGACCTGAGTCTGAGTTCAAGAGTCAGGCGCTTAACTGACTGAGCTGCCCAGGCGCCCCTAGGCTAGCGTTTTCAAAATGATTACTACTGCACATAAGTAAGATAATCACAGGAGAGGCAATCCATTCACAAAATTTTTAAAACCTTATATATAGTATTTACTTGCAAGACTTTGCAATCAATTAATGAAATGGTAACATGCAGATGGGCTCTGCTTTTAGCTTCTCTAATCTACAGGTTTTATAAGTAACTTCTAATATGTATGAATTGATATTAAATTTTAAAAAGATAAAGGCTTATCTAATTAACATAGTAATCTCTAGAATTATTTCCATACAGTAACTTCCACCATCAACCAAACAGTAAACATTTCAGGTATATCAAAATATGAACATGTCTTAACAACAATAATTCTGAGTTGTTCTAAGTATATTTTTTAATGGACTACTAAAAAATAAAAAATAAATAAAAATGGACTACTAAGGGGTGCCTGGCTGGCTCAGTCAGAGAGCATGGGACTCTCAATCTCTGAGTCAGGAGTTTGAGACCCATGTTGGGTGTAGAGATTACTTTAAAAAAAAAAAAAAAGAACAACTAAGAGATGATATAAGTAATCAGATCAGTGTATCTGAAGTTTCTGTTTGCAGAATGATAGTTTATATTTCTTCATCAACCAAAAGACTAGTAACCATACAGCAGTTCACATTTCCACTATAGTGTGTTGGTTTATGTCACTCCCACAGGAAATCATATTGTTCCCTGATTTTCAGGGGTAATAAAAGCACATATAAGTGTGTATTTTAAGGAAGACGCTGACACCAGTCTACAAATCTGTCACATATTGAGGCCCTCAAAAGAAAAAGCGTCAAGTCAACACGCTCTGTGTCCTGTCCATCTGCCAACCACTATTTGCCAGACAAAATATTCATCGATCAAATCAATAATTAACATTCCCAAACACCATAACACTTTTTATAGGCTATATAGCCTTATTCCTTCTTTCATCCTGACTTATACCAATACCCATTTTTAAAAATTGTTAATTAATTAAGTACATTAAGCCTACTTGCTACTCTAACAGCTCAAAATCTGAACAAAACTAAAGCCTTCAGAAGGATTTGTTTTTATTAAATATTCACTGCCCACCTTCCTAACGGGAAGACAGGAGGAAGTGGACAAATTAAAATTCTTACTGACCTGACTGCAGTTGATCGTTTCTATCCTCCTATTAAATATTACTGCTCACTGATTATTAATCCGAAACACTTGTAAACTGCAAAACTTTTTTCAGTCTTTTGGACTTGCCTGTTCATGACAAGATAGTTTCCATGCTTTCTAAAGACCTCTAGTGAGAAAGGCCAGGAAAAACATCTGGCAAGTGTATTTACAAAAAAAGACAATAAAATAAATGAGATACAAAAACAGAATAAGAACCACAAAAGCAAAACCTTTCGTTCCAAAATGGAGCCTTCCGCTCTGGAGGAAGCCCCCTGGCACCCGGCGTAAAGGTACCCGGGCTGGTGGCAGGTAGCGAGCACCAACGGTGTACAGAGAGTGCTGAGAGCCGCGGAGAAGCAACGGGCCGCTGCGGGCACTGCTGGCGCTGACAGAGGCCGCCCCCTCCAGCAGGACGTCCTGGGCACAGAAACCCTAGGCCTGGACACCACACCCTTCCCACCTCAGGAGGAGAGCGCAGGTGAACTTCCGCCTCCTTCCCGCACAAAAAGATGGAAGCTGGGGCGCCTGGGTGGCTCAGTGGGTTAAGCCTCTGCTTTGGGCTCAGGTCATGATCCTGGGGTCCTAGGATCGAGCCCCACATTGGGCTCTCTGCTCCGCGGTGAGCCTGCTTCCCCCTCTTTCTCTCTGCCTGCCTCTCTGCCTACTTGTGATCTCTCTCAAATAAATAAATAAAAGCTTAAAAAAAAAAAAAAAGATGGAAGCTGTGGACGGCTACAAGTAGCCAGTGAAATGCAGATGATGCTGCCGGGAAATGACAATCCTCAGAATCATGTTCCTGGCTTCCCAGGGCTAAGGGATGATTTTTTTTTAATTTTTTTTTAATTTTATTTATTTTATTTGACAGAGATCACAGGTAGGCAGAGAGGCAGGCAGAGAGAGAGGAAGGGAAGCAGGCTCCCCGCTGAGCAGAGGGCCCGACGCGGGACTCGATTCCAGGACCCCGGGATCATGACCCGAGCCGAAGGCAGAGGCTCTAACCCACTGAGCCACCCAGGCGCCCCCTAAGGGATGATTTTTAAATACATAGACCAAAGGACGCTTTTAACGTCTGACCACTCAGCATTTGTTTATTTCCCAGTTAGTATTCCTTCCCCCGTAGGGCCCTTTCTTTGTAACTCTAGGGAAAAGTGACAATGAGGGAAATGAGACCAAAGGAAGGAAAACATGCATCATCTTTCCACGGCAGTGATGGGTGCCCTCCATTACTTTCCCACATCAGCAGCTTGATGTGGGCAAGGCTGCGAAAACTCACCCCAGCTGCAGCTGGTGACAAATGACGGAGGCGTCAGAATCATCCCAGTGGCTGCCACAGACTGTGCCCCAAGCTCCATTTGCATATATTTCCACAGTGCCTTCAAACTCATGTTTGCCACCTCGAAGCCGCACTGACCCTGAAGTAGAAAAGAATCCCAAAACCCTTTAATAGCAAATAAACATTTGAACATACTGAGCCTGTCCTCAGTGAACATTTTCCACAAAAGCGGATCCAGCCAGAACAATTTGGCCTCCATGTTCACAGCCCTGGTTCTTTGTTTAAATGAGGATTTCACAGATTCGATTCAATTTTATTTTATTTTATGTTTTTGGTAGTTAACATCATAGTGTTAATAGTAATTATGCTTTCTTTTTTAGTTAAGCAAACAGAAAGTCCAATTATATTTTAAAAAGGGAAAAGCGGAAGAGTATGACTAATGTCTGATATTACATCCCAAATATTAGATGACATCACATATAAAATTCTTATCATGTATGTATCACCTTCCACTTCACCTGAGGTCAGAGATAAGAAGCACAGAAATGAAATTCAGTGCTCTACTTATAAATTAGCTGTTACTGTGTTATATATTCCTTCCATCTGATTTATTCACCACAAAAGAGCAAAATGCTTTTTCCCTTTTTAACCTCAAGCAGTAGTCATGAAATTCTAAATATTACGCCTATAATTTCAAAAAGGTGTTGGTGTTGATGACATTGCCTAATATCAGTCTTAGGAAAATTCACACCAGGCAGAATCGTTTGGTTTAATTGAGTGTCACTGGAAATTCCCCTCCCCTTACATATTATCCTCACTTAGCTGCTCCAGAGTCCATGATTTGAGTCACTCAGTCTTGAAAAGAGTCAAGAGTAAAATGCAAGTACCCCAGTAAAAATTACATCCCGTAAGTGCAGACAGATTGAGGCGCTACATTTCCCTTCTTATTAGCTCTGGTTTGCAGAGTGGCTATTGGGAGACCACAAGTGGGACCCTTAAGCAGAGACCGAAGTAAACTCGGACAGCTGAAGAATTTCACAAAACTCCGTTTAAAGCCACTTATGATGACCTTCATTTCATTGGTAAAGAAATTAAGAAAGTAAGTTCTACCAAAAAATTCCATCAAATTTTGCATATTTCAAACTTATTTCAAAGTATGGCTTTAAAATAATTTTCCAAAATATTAGATTCACAAATTACCCATTCATTTCACTTGCACTGACCTACGCACCCATTATTTTCCAAGCCATCATCGTTTAAAAATTTAACTATTTAAGAAACACATATTGTTTGTCTCAAGACAAGTACAAAGTGTCATTTAATTCAAAGAAAAGAATAATAAATGGAGGCAAAACATTACACTGCCAAATCCTGATTATTCAGGAGAGAGCATGGACATGGATCACTCACATGGCAGAGAAATCTAGAAGTCATCATTCATACTTTCCAAACCTCTTCAATTCAGACTAAGCAAGAGGAAGCCCTGTTTAGCTAAAGGAAAAGCGTGAACTGCAAAAAAAAATTTTAAGATTTTATTTATCTATTTTACAGAGAGAGAAAGCACACAAGCAGGGGGAACAGTAGAGGGAGAGGGAGAAATAGGCTCTCCCCTGAGCAAAGCCTGACACGGGGCTTCATCCCAGGACCCTGGGATCTGAGCCAAACGCAGAAGCCCAACTGACTGAGCCACCCAAGCACCCCTGCAAAACATTTTTTTTTTAAGATTATATTTATCTATTTGATAGAGAGAGATAGAGATCACAAGTAAGCAGAGTGGCAGGCAGAGGGAGAGCCCAGGACCCTGGAATCAGGACTGGCCCGAAGACAGCCGCTTAACCAATCAGCCGCCCAGGCGCCCCACCTGCAAAACATTTTTAAAGAAACAGGTCTGAAGAGTTTAACTGAACTTTGATGACTTTTTTAACCACAAAATCTCCTCTATAGAGACCTACATAATATCCTGCGTATCGCAAATACCAGAATTTTATTTCAACTCAAAAAAATTATTAGCTCACCTCAAACAAACATTACTTGAAATGATATTTAAATTAATCTATTTTCTCTTTATTAACCCCCTTCTCCAAATTACTCATGTCAAGGGTTGGAAGAAAGTTCAGGTAATGAGAACAAACTGGAACACTACTTACGCATGTTTAAAAAAAATCATAATAAAATGTAAAATACTGCCTACATCACCAAAAAGCTACCAAGAAGAAATGATGTGTGCCTATAATTTAAATGATAAAGGCATTTGGAGATAAGACTCAGAAAACTCTGCGTGAAGTATAATTACTACCAGTGCATCAAGATAATGGCAAAGACAAAGCTGGAAATAGCTTCCAGGTGAACTATCACTTCCACCATCTTCTCTCAGATTCTCCAAACATGCTATGAAAGCCTGGATTCATTTAGCTGTATCTGCTATATGGCAAGAAATGTGGAGTGCTCATCCAATTTTCCTTTAACAAATGAATACAAATATTTACAATTCTGGAAAGTCAATTTGCAAGTCAATGACTAATGAATTCTCTGTCAGAATCCATTCCCATCACCAACTTCCCCAGCTCCCACACCCTCCTCGTTTATCTCCACCCTCACCCAGTTTATCCTTCTCCTAAGGTCATAAAAATTTCTAACATATCTGACAAATTATCTACTTTGGACTCAGGGTGAGTAGTTCTTAATGGAAGATAATTCCACATAGTGCATAATTCTTCAAATAATTATTTGAAAGAGCACTTTAAAAAATATCAGAACATGCTCCAAAATAATAAAAGTTTGAATGTACAATTTAGATTACATTTAAGATAAGTAGCAGTTTTTATTTGCTTTTGGTTTTACTTTGCTCTAGTTACATTTATTTTCTTAGAATGGCCAAGATGGTCAAAATCTCAAAAACCGTAACTCATTTCTCTCAATTTATGGATGAAGAAGATTTGGACCAAATCAACTGCCATGACCACCTATTTCCTAGTTTCCCACTCTTCCTACAGTTCCTCTGTCTCCTAGTTATCTCTAGTTATCTCTAGATAACTAGATAACTCTAGTTATCTCCTAGAGTCCTGTCCTTGCTACCCTCCCATCTCTGAACCCTAGCAAAGACCCTGCAATGTCTTTTTCATGTCTATGCATTCACATTCTTTGCATAATGTACTTTATGCATTATGTCATGTGGCTTTCACCATTCTATGTGAAATACTCTGTCTGAAATATTGCAACTAATCTATCAAACATTTTATGGGAAGAAATAGACAGAGAGGAAGGTAAGACAAGACAGCTTGAAGAGGTTTTAACCTCTTCATTGCAAACAGGAGAGAACGGACTACTTTCCAGTGATCTACATTTGAGTCTGACCCCCCAACGGAGGAGTCCCACAGGCTGTATAAATTTGTAGAAACACCATACATTCGCACAAATTTAGAGGTACACAATTACAAAGTGAACGGAGGGAAATATCCTTAACTCAACTAGAAAAAAAAAAAACAAAAAACAGTGAAACAATGAAGCACTCACTCCACAAAGGTCAAAGCCTGGTAAACTCACTTACATTGCTAAAGTAATATAAAGCTCCTTTATTATTAAAAATTGATCCCTCTTCCTTCCCTCACACTCCTACTCCAGAGAAGCACTTTGCAATGCTCCTCACAGTGTCAGCTAATGTCTCTGGAACACATGGGCTGCCCTGGCTTAAAAAGTTTCTCAAGTGCCAGTCTGATGGAAATTATTCTATTCTAAATGTTTCTATTTTTAAAATGTGTTAATAATAAAACTTTAAAATTTGAGGTCTCAAATAGAGGTTTCAGGACAACTAAAACAGGCATTACAATATTACAAAACAAAACTTTCCGGAAGAATGTCTGGAACTGTAAAGGTATGCGTGATACCATGTCATGGAGAGGACTGCCCAGAGTTCTTGAAAGAGATTGTCGCCCACCGCCCCCACAAACACCAAAAAAGTCAACTGTCTGTTCGTTAATTACAATTACCTAAAAGCAAAAATGTGTCAATGCGCAATAATGCTCAGAGTTCTACCACCTTAATTCCCTGCCCAAACTTGAATTCATTGTTATTTTAGTTTACTATTATTTTTCTTCTTTGTAGTTATAACTCTAGTTTTATAAAAGAAAGGGAACATAAAAGATGTATGTTACTCGGGTGCCTGGGTGGCTCAATGGGTTAAAGCCTCTGCCTTCGGCTCAGGTCATGATCCTAGGGTCCTGGGATCAAGCCCCACATCAGGCTCTCTGCTCATCGGGGAGCCTGCTTCCCCCTGTCTCTGCCTGCCTCTCTGCCTACTTGTGATTTCTGTCAAATAAATAAATAAAGTATTTTTTTAAAAAATGTATGTTACTCAAATTAGCTTTAAGGGCAATTTTGCTAAAAAACAGGAATTCCCTGTTGCCTAGTTGGCTCCATCAGCACAGCATGTGACTCTTGATCTCAGGTTCATGAGTATGAATCCCATGTGTGGCGGATGGTTTACTTAAAATTTAAAAAATTAAAGAAACAAAAACAAAAAACAGGAATTCCCAAAATGAAAAGACATTAAAAAAGGACTCCCTTTAACCATTTTATCAGTCTCAGTGGAGACAAAAAAATCTTCCAGAAAATAGCTGACTAGATTAAAATTCCTTTCATAAGTCTCATTAGTTTATCAGTTTGTAAGCCTATTACGATGTGAATTCTATTCCTCCTCCCACCAAAATTTTGAAGTGCTAACCCCCACTACCTATACATCTGACCTTATTTGGAAACAAGGTCTTTGCAGATGACCAAGTTAACATGAAGTCATTAGGGTGGGCTCTAACCCAGTATGACTTTGTTCCTATAAAAAGGAGAAATTTAGCCGCAGAGACCCACACAGAGGGAGAACACCATCTGAGGATCGGGGTTACAACCCACAAGCCTTGGAATTATCAGAAGCTAAGAGATCCCATGGACAGATCTTTCCCTGATGTCTTCAGAGGAAGGGCTGCCCTGCTGACACCTTGACCATGGACTTTCAGCCTCCAGAACTGTGAACCTGTATGTTTCTGTTGTTTAAACCGCTCAGTTGCAGCACTTGTTCCAGCAGCCCTAGAAAACTCATCGAGCCATGACAGCATTACCCCCCTCCTTGGACAGCTAGTGAAACCATCC